ACGCTCTTCAGACCATTCTCTATAGGAACCAATGTCCAAATGCTTGGTGATAGCATCCAAGACATCAGTGTGGCGGTCAGACTCTTGCCTGATGTCAAGTCTGACAAGGGCGAGGCCAAAGGTGGATACTTGCCTCAAGAAATCAAGAAGGCTTCCGTCAGCTATCGGGCGGTCACCACACGAGCAGAGTGATCGGTAACACAGCTCGAGTGGTTCCAAGAACTATGCAGATAGAACACAGAGAAATCGAGGTAAATCCAAAATGCAGTTTCGAGGGACTTCATAACAAGACAGAAGAGATCGGTAATACCTGTTCAAGATTAGTGAAAGTCGCTTCCTCGGGGATGTCAGAGATTCCGTTAGTCAGTAATTGACGGGCATGTTCCCTCGTGTGATACAGTTTGTCTCTGACATCACCAAGAACCACACGGTACGGCTCGCTCGGAGGAATTGTCTTCCAGAATTCTGCCATGACGACAAGGAAATAGCTCTCGGTTATATGCCTTGAATGTAAAGTTGAACATAGCTTGAGTCGGCATGTAGGTTTTATATGCGATTTCGATCATCACACAAATCGGTTTGCTGAACTGAAAATCGTAACGTCTGCTCGGTTTTACAGCATGAAAACGTTTTGAGAAACACCATAGTGTAAGCAATCTTTTTTTTCCCCGAAATGATTACGCATATTTTTACCTATGTAGTGTTTTGCTGCATCTTTCCTCGAATTCCTGTGAAGTTCATCGGCACGCACACGGAGCTCTTCGTTGCAACGCCACATAGACAACTGCCGAGAAGACGAGGAATGAATGAATGGATGAATCGTACAATATTGGACTAAAGAAATTTACGAGAAAACAAAAAACTGGATTGTCGAGAGATGATATCAAACCTCAAACATGAGATCCTCGATTTGGTTGAAATACATGTTGGCAGCCATCATTCTGGCCAGCAAGCACACATCGCGGGTGACCTCAGGTGTAACCCGAGGGTTACCTGCAAATCCATACAGTCAGAAAGCCGAGAAACCGAGCATAAACGAGATATAATATAAACGGTCACATCGTATTTCAGTGATGGAAAAACAGTCGTACCATCACGGTCACCGCCCATCCAAGAAGAGAACTGAATCAAGGGGGCATTGTAAGGGAGACGTTCGTTGATCCCGATGCTTTTCAAAGCTGTGTCCACACGGCGCAGAAACTTGGGGACGCCCTTCCAGATCGTCTCGTGGAAATAACTCATCCCGGCTCTCATCTCGTCTTGCGGGGTCGGAGGAGTTCTCCTGATCTCATCCGTACGGAATGCAGCTTGAATCTATACCAACAATTACGTCAATCTTTTTTCTTGATTCCCGAACAAATTTACAACCTTACGAATCCAAATCAAGAAGGGCAGTCCATAAAAATGCCGAGTGTACTACCTCTCTCTGCAGAGCCTCGTCTAGCTCCTGCTTATCGTCAGGAGTAATGTCCTTGGCATACAGCTGAGCCAGACAATCCCTTATCCTGAAAAGGGCAGAACAAAGCATATAAGAGAACTGTAATGGCCGAGTTCTTCTGAATCAGATTCAGATGCTGACAAATTCAGACAAACCTCCCGTGCTTCTGGAGCAAAGATCTCCGAATGGACTGAGTAGGGTGAGCAGTGAAAACAAGATCCACTGTCTGGTTCTTGAGAGCATCGAACACCTCTTCAGGAGACTTCTTCAGATCCACCACAAGTCTCTTGAACGTTTCCTCGATGTCTGATTCGGTAGTGGCGGAGTTCTCGTCGGCGAAATCACGCTTGGCCAGCTTCTTGATCCTACGACGGTAAGCGATCTGAACCTCCTCGGCCAAGTTGGCCAAGTTGAGCATGTGAGAGAAAGCCTTGGCGATAACAATGGAGTCCCCTGGGTCCAAACTCGTCAGGACACTCCCGAGCTCCTCGAGCTTTCCCGGTTCATGCTTTCCTTCGTACTCAGCCGAAAGCTCGTACAGATCTTGAACCTTTCATAAACAAACATGATGATAATGATTCATCCGGATCATTCACAGACTCAATCACTGATTAAGACAGATCCTTTTCACAAGATGTTGCAGATCATATGATCAATCCTCTAGTAGATGCTCGAGCAATAAGATCAATCGAGAGATTCTTAATGGATCTTTCACATGAACCAAACACTAACAAATCTGACCAAAATCTGAAAAATGACAACTAAGAACGTGAAGTCTTTTGCTTCGATAAACCATCCAACGAGAGCAGATTACTGAAACCAGTAATCAAGGACATGAATTTTCTGACCAAAGACAAAGAAAAGCATACGGAACGAGGTTTTTCCAAGTTCTTCGGAAATGGGCATCAATCTAATTGAAGAAAACCCAGAATGAAACATGAAAAAAAAAATGTACCGTTTCTCTGAGATCCTCGCCGTGCAAGTCTTGAAGAATGTCGAGGAATCGATCCAGGAGCAAAGCATCATACTCGACAAGCTTGTCGTCTTCGCTAACTTTGGCAGGAACCAGTTGACGAAGCTGCGCATCAATCGACGCCATCTTCTCTATGTTCCGAGCCGCCATTGTCGCCGATCACTCAACCTTCTCTTCCCTTTTCTCTGTGGTCATATAAGAGAAAACCCCCCAAAAAAAAAAACAAAGTTAACAGAAAAAAAAAACAAACAAAAAGGCAAGATCCGCCGTTTACCAACAAAAATTTCGGCGACAAAACCGGGATTTCAAGGGGCTAAAAGCCATGAAAACTGGAAAACTATAACGCGAAACCAAATCGGGCAAGAGAAAGAAGGAGAAATTCAACAGACGGAGATCGGACCCAGAAGAGAACCTCAGCGGCTATTACGGAACCCGAATCTGATTCTGAAGCAACCCAATTGGGAAAAAAAAAAAGAAGACTTTTTTCCTTCTTTCTCTGGGATCAGATTCAGAGTTGGAACACCTAGATTTCCACAAAGGGTTTTTTACCCAAACAACCCACTTCGGTCGCATCTATTTCACCTGTACACCACCAAAAATATAACACATTTTTTTTCCTGTAAAAAGACGAAATTACCCTTAATGAATCACGATATTTATCCATTCAAAAACAACTTCGTTATTACGACTTCATAATTAAGTCTAAATATAGTTACAATTGATTCTTAAAAAGGTGGCAAAAAAATTATCTGCCTTATTTTAGTTGTATATCAGTTATATGTTAGTCGTAATAAAGTCGCAAAAAATAAAACGAAAAGGGTATTTCGGACTTTTCCACCCGAAAAGTGGGTTAAAATTGAAAAATTTTTTTTTTTTTTTTTTGGTGGTGTACACTGAAATAGATGTGAATGAAGTGGGTTATTTGGGAGATTTCCCCCACAAAATGAGTAACTAAACTTGGGGGTATATATAAAGTCGGAGAGAGCTGCATAGTCCCTCTGTTTTCTGATTGGACAATGGAGAGATGCCCTTTCGTTTGAAATCTATTAAATATTATTTTTTATTATTTTTGTTTACTTGTTGTGATCACCGCAATCCTGTTTGTTTCCTGGGAAAATAAAATTTTTCCAGGTGTTTGCACTCTTGAACTCAGAGAATTTTGAGGAAAACTCCAAATTCGTTATTAGTGTATGGATTTTGATTAAAGAAATCAAAGAATTTTCTCGAACTTGTCCTGTTTGTGTAGAATTTAGGTGTTAATTTGTTTAAGCCATCCGGTCAGAGAATCATTAATTTTATATATTTCTCGCATAATCTTGGGGCTCTAAATATTAGTAAAACTTAAAATAATACACAATGATGATACATAGTGTATATGTGTCATGTATGTGCGTAGATATTGTATATATGCGTGTGCTTAGATGGTAGATACCCCAAAAAAAACTAGATTGTTATTTTATTTTTCACATCTAGTATTCATAAATAATAATAATAATTTGAGAATGTTTGGGCGAAACGAAATTATTGGTTATCTACATCAAATAATTGGATTTTTATAAATTTTCACCGCAAATTAGCCTTTATTCAGATGAAAATACGTTTGATTTTGATAACCATTAACTATATTAAGCAGATTATTATTATTATTGAGCATTGCATTAAAAAATAATATACTAATGGAGAAGACGTGCATCATAAAAGATCCCAAGGATATGGCACTCGCACCTCAATCATGGACTTATTATTATTAATTAAAACTAAAATATGCTAATTACCTAGAGATTTATTTATTTTTTAAATTCTCTTTTTCATCTTAAAAAGAAAAAAAGAAACGAAGTCTTTAAGGTTAAAGAAACATTAAGAAAACGTTTTAGGGTGATAAAAGAAACAAATGAAAAGTTTGGGGTAAGTTAAAAAAAAAATTAGAATCATGAGACGTGGAAAGTTGCATGTGCCATGCACCAATTTCCACGAATTTGTTCTAACTTTCATGAGATATAAATTCATGTAACGTCCAAGTTGATTTATTTTACTCGGTGGTCCATTGATTCATATTAAATTATATTTATATTTAGGGATCTAAACGAATTGTTGAAATGGTGCTGCATACGTTAGACATTCCTTAATTATAATGATTTTCCCCTAAACAAGTTTTTAAAACGGGCAAAGAAATCATGAAACTGTAAATGATGAACAAAAAATGGTGTAACATATTTACTCCGTAAATGATGAACAAAAATAACATAAGAATTGAAACCCATCAAAAGAAATAATTAGATGGAATGCATGAATGAATTAATTTTCTATAACAATAAATATCCATAAACATGAATTGTCCGTATGTACATATCAGCATCCAACCAACCAACATGCACAGCATGAAAAGGTTCATTATTGTTAGATGTGCGGTCAAGGTCGGTGATAATTAGACTGACGTATTCGATGATAATTAATTGTAATTATCAATGGGAGTTTTGACAAGCAACAATAATTCCAATTTCTTTATATATATATATATATATA